TTCTATACAATAATTAGGATTATCATCTAGTACTTGATTTTTTAGAGCATTTCAAAACCTGGTTGAAGGAAGTCTTTTTCCCAAACGTGGGTCCTAGAAGCCTACTGTTAACCGATTCCTGGAGCGGACACTGTCCTCAAGTCGTGAAAGAAATTACTCCTCCGGATAAAGAATTAACTATGTTGATTCCAAAGGGGACTACTGGAAATGTTCGTCATTTTTCGGATAGTGTCGTCCTAATGGACTATGATATTAATTTACATTTGCGGAACAATATCATAACGTTACAGTATTTAGTCCATAAGCAATAATTATCATCAAGGTACCAAAATTTATTTCGTTATGCTTGGTTTCAGAGTGGTTACATTTCTAAAAAATCAGATGAATTCGAAAATTCTGTCGATTTTGCATTCGGGCAATCATCTCATCCGCACTGTGATATTGAAGGCTGTTCCANTCACGAAAAATCTATTTTTTAAGTTTTAAATTTCGATTAAAAAAGAAATCAAAACAGGTATTCTGCATTTTTTTCTACTTTCTCAAATGGAATTTATCTCATGGGATTTCCATCAAACGTTTTTTTTCTATGAGAAAAATGAATTTTCANTTTCCTGGTTTTGAATGAACATTCTAGAACTTTCGGTTCAATAGTGGAGCAAAATCTCTTCAAACCTGCGAATGTGTTCATCACCGCTTCTAAATCGGGAAAACTCACTTCACGTATGACAATATTTAAGACCTAACAAACATGATATGTTCTATACAATAATTAGGATTATCATCTAGTACTTGATTTTTCAGAGCATTTCAAAACCTGGTTGAAGGAAGTCTTTTTCCCAAACGTGGGTCCTAGAAGTCTACTGTTAATCGATTCCTGGAGCGGACACTGTCCTCAAGTCGTGAAAGAAATTACTCCTCCGGATAAAGAATTATTAACTATGTTGATACCAAAGGGGACTACTGGAAAAATTCAACCCCTTGACGTATATGGTTTTAGGATATGGAAGAATTATGTTCGTCATTTTTCGGATAGTGTCGTCCTAATGGACTATGATATTAATTTACATTTGCGGAACAATATCATAAAGTTACAGTCTTTAGTCCATAATCAATTATCATCACCAAGGTATCAAAATTTATTTCGTTATGCTTGGTTTCAGAGTGGTTACATTTCTAAAAAACCAGATGAATTCGAAAATCCTGTCGATTTTGCATTCGGGCAATCATCTCATCCGCACTGTGATATTGAAGGCTGTTCCAATATTGCAGTAGTCAGATGCTCATGGTGCAAAAAATCACTTTGTTTGCTGCATTTTTTTGAAGAATATCATTTTTGTACGCATTACGTCCCCTAATACTATCTATACTGTAGATTGATCCCAACAGAAAGTATGCTGATTGAGAACATAATACTAGAAGGAATAAATGGTCTGAGCTTCTATAATAATATCAATGTATATTCTGAATTCCATCATTTGGGGATTACTACCATTATTGTTTCCTTTCCATATCGGATCTTCATTCAATCCTTACCATTTAGTTCGGGCTATGGTACTGTGATACAAGTAGACCGATAATTGAAAGGTTGTAATTCATATATAACTAGCAATGGAAATTTTCATGGGTTCAAATTTCGATATTTCTTATTAGTCTTTACTCTTTCAAATAAATTCTGTTTACTAATATAATTAAAAGTAACTCCCAGAAAGGTTATTTAGCCTCCAAGTGTTACTTCCAGAGACTCATCACTCATCTTTTTTATGTACCAAAAAATCGAAGACTTGTATATAATTAAAAAAAAAGTATTTTACTTTCAATTTTAATTTGGGGAATAGAATCGCAGGATGTGCTTTGAATTGTCTCATGCTTTCGAGCGAAATGTGTTTCGTAAAATTCTCATCGATATTTTTTCTCCCTTATTAAA